AAACCTTTCTCGAAATAGCTGTATCTCAAAAGTAGGGATTGCAACGGCCGCCGAAAGTTAGAAGCATTTGCATGAGAAAAACAACTTTTGCCATCCAGTCACGCTTGCATGGTTTACCATACAAATCCTTGTAAAAAACTTCAAAACTGTCATGAAATATTTCCTTAAGGTATAATCCACCCTCAAGCATCCTCCCCGCGTTGATCGGCGCTAGCGCTTTTGCTTTTAATAAATACCCAAATAAACCGTACATTTTCTGAAAGCTTAATAGTTCTAGATTATTGCTTAATCCTTTTAAAAAATCAAAATATTAACGCGATTCAGAAATGAGAAGCTTTTTGTGAAAGTGGGTTTCACTGTAAATTTAAACCCAGGCTAGCCAAAATAAACGGAAGAAGCCAATTAAGATCGCATTCTCTCCTTAACACGTTTGACTAAAAAACCGTGTCTCAGATTTTTGTCAAGTGGGTTTGTTCTTTTGTTATAAGCAGTTGAACTTAGGGATAGCGAATCATTAGCACTACCTGTGAAAAAATACTCTTACTCGAAGAAAGAAATCAAAATCGGCAGACACGGTTTTTTATAAAAACTATCTGACAGTAAGTTGGCCAAATTTCAGCCAAATTGGTTCACGGGTTGCCGACTTGGAGTTTAAAACGTACCCTCAACTTGCCCTGATTTTCATTCGGAGAAAACGGGAAAAAAGATTTTTGGCGGCGTATTACCCGTGACGAGATTATAACAGATTATAACACCAAAGCTGCCAATGTTGATGCATACCAGAAAAGGGACAACAATAGTGACACAGCAGGAAAAGGTTACAAACGAAACTCGACAACAGATGAACAATTTATTTCAAAGGCTCTGCTCTGTTCGATCCTAAAGCATCTTTAGTTATTTGCGACGGGCAGTTTTCATTTTGAGCCAAGCCAACTTTTACTCGATACATTTTCTAAAAGTTCGACACTTCCCTTGAAAAATCGACAACAAATTAAACCGCTTCCTGGAGTTTTTCTTGAAGCTGCTCTCCCGCTACACGATAGACTTTCAAAAAAGTCCTTCGTCCGATTTTTATTTGGCGCGGGACCTGTCACGAATTTGATGCTCGCTTGGCCGCTTCGCGGCCTAAAAAGCTTGCTCCGCTCGCTAAGAAACTCGTGAAACTCGATTTCGCGGTAGTTTCAATGGGTTTTTCAGAAGCTTTGTCATCTTTTAGCCATTTTTCTTGATTGTAGTAGGAGCCCTTGTCGCTCTCTGCTAATTTTGAACTCCCGTACAAAGCACTTTCCATGTGGTATTGTGTTTATTATATACATACTGAGACATTCATCATTTTGGCGGCCTTTTTATTTTTAATCTTTCAAAAATGCTAAATTTGCCGCTACACACTTATGCATCAGTCAATTCCACCTGCGCCCAGCACCCCCCCCCCTCCCGGGCTGACCCCGGATTGCCTTGGATGGCAAATTCCCGGGGGTGGGGACTCTTCAGCTGTCAAATGCCCCGGGGTGGGGACGAAAAAAGAGGGCAAATGCCCCGTCCTCCGTTAACACTGCAACTTTTTTCATTGATCGCACAGTCAAATAGTGCCATTTTAAGCATTTTAATGTGCTATTTTTTGTTTCAATTAACGTCTTCCTTTGTAATAGCGCTAGGATTCTAATTAAGACTTCACGCCGCGACGACATGCACCAGTTTATGGTTTTAGTATTGACATTAAAATTAATAGAGCACTGTAATATTATGTTATGAATAGTTTTATAAATGTGAAAGGATGTTCTTCAAATAATATCAACAGAAATTTGATTCAATCACCAAAAAACGCTGATTCACGTCGATAGCTCCAATTTCGATACGTAATTCTGGCTTTATAAGCAATGAAGAAATGCAACATACATGCAAAATCGAGAACAAGCCTTAACAACCCTCTACAATTTAATCCTGTCCTTCACAGACGAGCCAATCTACTTTTTTTCCAGTAAAACCTTCTTTGTAGTTATATTCCAATGGGAAGCCGCGTGCGTGTCAAAAGCTCGGGAATGGCCCGCGGGTTGGCAAATGTCCGGCCCCCGGGCAGTGCAAAATTTGCAAATGCCCCACCCCCGGGACTGACAAGGCGGGAAAATGCCCCGCAGTTGCCCGGGGGGGGAGGGCTGGGCGCAGGTGGAATTGACTGATGCATTACCGCAAAATGACAACGAAAACGAAGTATCAGCTTTTTAGTAGAAACGTTTGTTAAAAACATAAATGACGCTAAGGATATGAGGTAATCCAAGAACTACAAGTAATCTTAACTGTTTGTTCTCAATGCACAATTGAAAATGAGTGAATTTAAGTAAAATGGCTGGTTTCAATAGAAGCTTAAGCTTAAATGAAATGAAAGGCAAAGTAGCTCCGACAAAAAGCACAACAAGCTTACGTCTTGTCCTGTTTTTCCCTTTCCGCTGTTGTTTCGCCGGCTCTCTACCGTTTTCTTTATCGACAGTGAAACAAACCGAACTATTCCACTCCATTTCCGAAATGTTTTTCACTTTTTTAGTGAGAAAAGCTCTTTGAGTAAAACTTTTCTCGTTGAATGTGTGCAAAGCGGCGCTGCAAGCTGCAATAAAAGGCGGGAATTTTAGCGCGAAACTCACACACCTCTGTGGCTTCTGATTGGACCTATCATTTTTCTCACACGTGAAAAAACATCGTTCGCGCTTCTGATTGGACGTATCATTTTTTTCACGAGTGAAAACCATCGTTCGTTCCAAAGCACTTTATTTGTTCTCCAAAGGCCTTATGGGCTAAACTAGTGAAACAGTTTATTACCTTGAAAATACAAATGAAACAATGGAACCACTCGCTTGTTTAGTTTACGTGCAGAAGGTGTTAAAGAAATGCGTCAAATAACAACTGCTTACCGTTTCGCCGTGACGGGCGCAGAAAAAGCGCCTGGCTAATAATTGTAATCGGTGTGAATATACTGTGGAATTCACCCCGGATCTTTGACTAAGATACAACCAGTTTTATTCGGCGAATTTTAGACAAGCCTGTGAGCTGTCGAACAACACTAGGGGTTACATCAGGTTCATACGAAATTACCGTCATCTAGCCAATGCTTTTGTTTCCCTTATCTTTAATATTTCAGGTCTTTTATTGTTTGTTAGCAATAGGCTAACATGGACTGTAGCAATCTTGAGCCCCAGCACAACTGCTGACCAAGCCAGGAAGACTCTGGGCTCGAGATTGGCACTGTCGGCCACTTGAACTAATTAAAAAGATCACTGGTCAAATAATTAATCTTTTTCTGACCATCCTTATGGCCATTTTTCTCCTTTATTGCTAGTTATCTTCGCCATTAAATTGTAATACATAAAATAAACAAACTCAAGTGTGATCGATACTCCACGCCTCTTGACTTGAGCCACGTCCACACTACGCAGAAGAAATTTTATTTCTCCGGTTAGGCCTACAGCTCACACTAATCTGTCACAAGAACGGAGCTTTTCAAAAACGCTCTTCAAACCGAAGGAATTTGAAAACCGTAGCTTTCCGTTTTAGCGTGGACGGAAAACATTTAAAATACGTAACGTTTCGAAAACGCTCTTGAAATCTGAGGAATTTGAAAGCACTAGCTTTCTGTTTTAGTGTGGACGGAAAACATTTTAAAAACGGAACTTTTATAAAACGATGACATCACGATAATGGTGTGATTTCCCTGCCAGAGGTTTCCTTAAACACAAATCTGAAATGACCGGCCGGTTATTGTTACCTGTTTAAATTTCTCCATGAACACAGGGGCACCCAATGGATCTGTTCCTCAAAATATCTGTTCTTCATGCAAATTTTTGCTGGCTGGGAGATGTGGAAGAAATAATAGTTCTTGGAAGGAAAGTGTTGCTGGGAAAAAAGATAATTCAGGGTGTCAGAGGGGATTTGAAGTCTAGAATAGCTGCTACGGGCTACTTGTATGGGTTGCTTACCACTCAAGATCTGAATTGTGCCTGGCTATGAATCTTCCCAGTAAGTCAGGTTGCAGGTTGTAAGGTTGCTGGCTGGGAACTCTTCCATCAGTCTTGCTGGGAGTGAGGAACAGATAATTTTTTTCCAGCAATCTCCCAAAATGCTTAAAATAGTCTCAGAAAACTTTATTCACGCTTTGTTGTTGTTTTTAGGTCTTTTTCTCAAAATTTCCCGTTGGGTGCCCCTGTGAACAGAACCGTTTTCAACTTTCTCCGGCGTAGTGTGGACGACCACAGCAACAACAACTATTTCTACTCACTCAGCTAAAAATTAAATGAACAAGAATAAGTTTAAATGAAAACGAGCACATGGCTGCCCGAAATAACCTTAGACTTTAGTTATGTAAGTATTCCTAAAGACAGGGTGAAATCAAAGTCAACCGGCATTTACCTAAAATAGACTGTTCACAACCCTCTATTTTCTCGTATTTTATTCTATTGTTGAATCCCTGTATGGAATCGAGAGAGAACTGGACGCCAGCGCAAAACGGAAGACTTGAGGTGGTGGTGACCGAGAAAAATATATATGTTCTTCTTGCTCGCTTCGCTCGCAAACCCGACCTCCAAGACTTCGTGCTTCGCGCTAACTTCGCTCGCTTTTTCTTGCGCACGCTTGAATAGAGGGGTCGGTGACAGTCTATACCTAAAGCTGCAATTAAAACACGTGCAGTTGTCGTTCAATTTATGAAACGAAGTCTCTATTACATCCTGCAATATAATGTCTGCTGAAATCTTTAAGAAAGATCATAGCTAAATATTTTGAAACGTGAGCCACTCATTTTTATTTTATTTTCCCCCGTTTTGAAGAATTTAGGCAATTAAAATTTTCTATAAAATATTCAAAAGCGCATCACAATAGTAATTAATAACTAAATTTTACAAATCTTTCTAACATGAATTTTAAAATATTTACATTTAAATGAGTAAAAGATAATTGCAAATATATATAGATAGAGATATACTAGGATAACTGAAATGATTCCTTAAATAAAAATGTCTTAATTAAAGTCTTAAAAGATTCTAATTTCGTTGCTTCGCCCGCGGAACTTGGCATCTTATTCCATAGGAAAGGAGCAGCTACCTGGAAAGCTCTGTCTCCCATTGTTTTCTTGGTTTTCGCACTTGGTCTTTCCAACAAACGACCATTGTCGTTGCGCCTCAAATCGTAGGACGAAGGCTGTTGAATACTAATTAAATCTGAGAGGTACTTAAGTGATAGGCCATGCAAAATTTTAAAAGTTATCAAGAGTATCTTATAATGTATCCTGGAGCGCACTGGTAACCAATGTAATTCTGCGAGTAGAGGTGTTATATGACAGAACTTGTGCGCGCGNCTCGCAAACCCGACCTCCAAGACTTCGTGCTTCGCGCTAACTTCGCTCGCTTTTTCTTGCGCACGCTTGAATAGAGGGGTCGGTGACAGTCTATACCTAAAGCTGCAATTAAAACACGTGCAGTTGTCGTTCAATTTATGAAACGAAGTCTCTATTACATCCTGCAATATAATGTCTGCTGAAATCTTTAAGAAAGATCATAGCTAAATATTTTGAAACGTGAGCCACTCATTTTTATTTTATTTTCCCCCGTTTTGAAGAATTTAGGCAATTAAAATTTTCTATAAAATATTCAAAAGCGCATCACAATAGTAATTAATAACTAAATTTTACAAATCTTTCTAACATGAATTTTAAAATATTTACATTTAAATGAGTAAAAGATAATTGCAAATATATATAGATAGAGATATACTAGGATAACTGAAATGATTCCTTAAATAAAAATGTCTTAATTAAAGTCTTAAAAGATTCTAATTTCGTTGCTTCGCCCGCGGAACTTGGCATCTTATTCCATAGGAAAGGAGCAGCTACCTGGAAAGCTCTGTCTCCCATTGTTTTCTTGGTTTTCGCACTTGGTCTTTCCAACAAACGACCATTGTCGTTGCGCCTCAAATCGTAGGACGAAGGCTGTTGAATACTAATTAAATCTGAGAGGTACTTAAGTGATAGGCCATGCAAAATTTTAAAAGTTATCAAGAGTATCTTATAATGTATCCTGGAGCGCACTGGTAACCAATGTAATTCTGCGAGTAGAGGTGTTATATGACAGAACTTGTGCGCGCGATATATAAGTCTTGCACTCGCATTCATAACACGTTGCAATTTTCTAGTCTGATATTCCGGGATACCATATAAAAGGCTATTACAGTACAATAATCCAATCTACTACTGATAAAAGCATGAACTAATTTCTCAGTTGATTCTCTGGATAAATATTTCTTAATATGACGTATATTGTATAAATAATAGAAAGCGCTGCTACAAGTCTTTGTAATGTGAGTTCCCATATCTAGATGCGTATCGAACCATGTGCCTAAATTGCGCGCAGAGGCTACAGGGGAGACTTCAGTCTGCCCAATCTTGATGCTTTGGATCGAAACTTTTGAGAGCTGCTGACGAGTACCTATAATCAGGAACTCAGTCTTGTCATCACTGAGCATCAACTGATCCTCCCTCATCCATGCTCGGACATCGCAGGTGCACCTCTGCATGGCTGGTACAGCTTCGACTTCACTGGAAGAGTCAGAGGGCTTAAATGACAAATACAACTGTATCATCCGCATGAGTATGAACGGGGAGCAGATCGTGTTTTAGAATCTGGAACAGCTTACTCACGTAGATGCTAAATAAAAGCGGGCCCAGGCATGACCCTTGAGGAACTCCACATTTCAAATCAAACGGCTATGAGAGAGTTCCGTTGATAGACACTTGCTGTGATCTGCCCTTAAGGTAACTCTGAAACCAAGAAAGTACGTTCCCCCGCAATCCAACTGTTGACCTCAATCGTTCCAGAAGGATTTCATGTTCGATGGTGTCGAATGCAGAGCTCAAGTCGAGAAGCACCAGCAGCGTAACTTTACCTTTATCCATCGTCATAAGGAGATCGGTCTTCACCTTGAGTCGTGCGGTCTCCGTGCTGTGATGTTGGCGGTAAGCACTTTGCAATTCTGGAAACAAGCCATTGACTAGCATGTGCTCTTGTGATTGTACTGCAACCTCTTCCTCTGTGAGTTTGGACGTGAACAGTAAGTTACTCACAGGCCGAAAGTTCTTGTTTATCAATCGAAGACCAGATTTTTTGAGCAGAGGATGTACTACTGCCCTTTTCCAGTCATCTGCAAAGTAACCCTGCTCTAGTGATACGTTCATCATCCTACTAATCACTGGAAGTAACTCCTCTATGCAAACCAACAAGATGGATGATGGAAGAGGGTCCAGAGTACATGTCTTCATAGACGCCACAGCCATCTTCCTTACAGCCTCTTCGGAGAGAGGTAAAAACTCTGATAGCGTGACAACGTCATCACTACTCGATGAACCGTGAGGTGCCCGCTCAGTAACCGCAGGAGAGACCGTGTTACCAGCTAGCTTTGATCTAATAGCCACTATTTTATGGATGAAGTATTCACCCATCTCATTTGCAAGAACAGATGCGTCAGTGTGAGGTGGGAGAGACTTGTCCGCTTGCAGATTTAGCAGGCTCTTGCTAGCCCGGAACAGCTTTGAGAGGTCCGAACTGTTCTCGTCAATGAATTCCTTGTAATAAGTACATCTAGCTTCATTCATCAAATGTATGACATAATTTCGCTTAGCTTTAAATACTACAAGATCTGCTTGGAGACCACTTGCCCTTCATCTTCTCTCGGTCTTCCTCCTATCCCTTCGATCCTGAATTATGTCTTCATTGAACCATGGGGGCCTGGGTCGAGTGGAGACATGACGAGAACAAACGGGCGCGTGATCAACTAATAGTGATCTTAAAGTCGTGTTATAACAGTCGACACGCATGTTCAAATCATTAGGCGGGTCTTTATATAGCTGAGAATTGCGGATATCTTCTTTCAGTTTAGTTATATCAATTGATTTGAGTTTCGTGTATTTAACATGGTTAATTCTTAGTGGAGGCTTCGCCACACTTAGCTTACCTATCACAGCAGCATGGTCAGAGAAATATCTCTCAGGAAGGGGCTCACCGTCCACAATATCATCAGCCTGCCGTGTGATAGTTAAGTCTAAGGTGTGGCCATGTATGTGAGTGGGTCGTTTGACATGCCGTACCAGACCCATAGAGTTTAACAGGTCCTTGAGCCGGATATTGTCAGCGTCTGATGGAACGTCCATATGAATATTAAAATCACCACATATTAACAGTAACTTACTACACATGACTAACGACTCGAGATAGACTGAGAATTCATGAAAGAAAACACTCGTAGTCACGGGATGCTCCGCAGAGTATGTTGGCCTATACACGATGACAACACGCAGACGAACAGATTGTTATAAAATAAGAAGATTGTGAACGTTTGGGTTCATGTAAATATTCAGAGCCTGAAGTTATAAACCCGGTGCTCGTTAACATGCAGCAAGCGGTGTCTCTCGTCATCGTTGTTGCTTTCATCTTCTCTTGCACTCTCATATCCATCAGGATTTATGGTTGGAGCCAAACTGCCATTGTCGCTACTGTTACCAGTGACAACAAGAAGACGCAAAATAACACCTACAAGAACGACCAGGACGCATGAATTGACAAACATCACAACCCAGACGAATGCAACTGTGTAGGAGCTGTCCAAAGCCGAAAACCTCACCAGCATAAAAGACATGGACAACACGAACAACACCAGGGGCTCGAAAACATTCTCTTGGGCCAATCGGTTAATCGACCGATTGTCGTAGGGCTCTAAACGTAAGCAAAGAATGGCTGAAACCATAAGTATCAGCCAAACAACAAACGTTTGCAAAGAAGAGGAAGAAGAAATCATAGACAACGCTGTGGCAAGAAGCAAGCGTCGAAGAAGCATGAAAACCTCGAAGAAGTGCTGGTACTTTGGTTTGTAAGGTAAGTAGACAGGACCAAGCCAAGCATCAAGTTTCTCGCGATCTTCAGGACTCATGATTTCTCTCTTTCGAAAGAAAGCAAACATCAGATAAATGAGAAGCAAGGGAAACCCAATGAGATAAAACGCAACAGAGAGGCCACCAAGGACTGATAGAGTTTTGTAAGTGTGAGAGGTGCATTCAATCCAGGGAAAGTTTGGCATGTAAAGAACATCACGGTCATTGTGGCATGGGCGTAGAATGGAGAGAGTTTGCTTTACGATGGGAAAGTAGCTGAAGTTAAGGCAAAAGAAGGCACTTTGACGACATTTGAAATGAACCTTTTCCATGCGTTCCTGGTCTCGACGAAATCTGTCGTAAGTCATCAAGATGATGAAATACAAACCTATCATTGCCATGCAAACAACTGGAAGGAGAAGCAGAAAAGCAAACTTGCCAACGGGAGTGAAAAAGGAAGGTAAGTCGCAGGAAAGCGAAGGAAAATAAAGGTTCCAGTAACTACTCAAGTACGTCTGAGCCACTACGACTTTTTTAGGCCAAACATTGGCACTGGATATCAAAAAATCCATGGTTTGGATATAAAACACTGTGATGCTGATAAGAGGTCGGGCTGCTTTTCCTCTACTGGTCATACACAGCACAAAGACCACCAGATTTAATTTGAAAACCCAGGCTGGTAGTAATTCCAACAACATGAATGTTAACATTAAAAGAAAATGAGCTGCCGTAACTGCAAACCATTTCATTGGTCTCAGATTGAAGTAAAAGTATGACCAAAGTAGAGCAAGGAATGACACAGCAAAGGTTCCTTATTTGTCTATCATCATTTAAACCAGCGGGAAACCTGTAAACTTCGTGTCAGGTGGTTCAAATATTTTAGGCAGAACACAACGAGAGCAAAACCTGTCCGTGTTTCCTTCATGACAGATGCAGGAGTTATCGCATGTTGTGATCAGTGATGATACTGAAGGTCTGTGATGGGACGAGTTTGTGTCCTTTGGTGATGTTTCGAGTCGACATGTGCAGGAAGCTGATGGATTACATGCAGTTGACACTGGGCACTTAACCAGATGGGTGACACTGTTAGGAGTGGGCGATGGCCAATAGCCACTTCGCAATGTCATGTTGTTTGGGTGCACATAATTTGATTCAGTGAAGCCAAACTGAGGGCACGTCTTACCATCCATGCATTTCTTGCACGTCCCACCAACCATGCATTTCTTGCACAACCCACTATCTCCGTAGAAACCTGGATCGCAGACGCAATATTTGTACTCGTAAAATGTTGGATCCAGACGAATACGGCCATTGCTTATTGTGAGCCGTCCTTGAGGACAAGTAAAGTTATCTTCTTCCTTTGGTTTAAACATTCTTGAAAAGTCAGGACGAAAGACGGTCGACGATGCTGTAGTTGCTTCTCGCATAGAAGGATTTCCAGAAATATCCAAAAATTGTAAGGAGGTGAGAGTTTGAATCCCTAGTGGAAAACTTCCCGACAGGTTATTCGAGGAGATGTCAAAATAATTCAGGATGGACGTGTCCCCAAAAATATCCGATATCTCTCCGTAAAACTTGTTTTTATGTAAATCGCAGGTAGTCATGGCAAAGTAGAAGACTCTTACGGGCAAACGACTATCTATGTCACAATTGCTCAAATTTAAAACTAATGGACCTTCGCTGAAGATTTCCATAAAGCTTGCTAATTCAATGTTCAAATTTTTATTTCCTGCCAGAGAAACGTACGGTCTAGCTGCTGTGGAGACATGTTTAGGCCACGGCTTCCCTTTGTTAATTGAAGAAAACTTGTTTTGCGACAAATCGATCATTTTAATATCTGGCAAAAGAAGCAACTGACCTGGGATATCCCCTGTCAGTTCATTGTTTGCCAAATTCAGCTCTGAAAGGTTGTTAATTCCCGGAATTATTTCAGGAAATTTGCCTGAAATACTGTTACCAGGAAGAACGAGACTTTGTAAATTTGCTGGCAGCATTGAAGGCATTTCGCCAATTAATTTGACCCCAGATACCGACAGAATCTTTAGCGAAGAAATCGAAAATAAGTCACTTAGATGGCCATGCATCATACCAGGTGTGTTTTTTAGGTCCAGATAATAGAGCTTGTTTAATCTAGAAATGCTTCTTGGAATTTGTCCGGTTAGATTATTTCCTCCAAGACAGAGTAATCGTAGCTCCGTCATGTTTCCTATGTTGTCTGGCAAACGACCAGTGAACCCATCACCGTGCATCGTACAACCCAGGAAATTCTGTAGATAACTCAGCTTGGCGATATCTTGAGGAATATCTCCTGTGATAGAGGCTGCGTTGAGCACCACGGTGAGTAGTTTGCTCATATTTCCAAACAAAAAGTCACCAATGCGTCCCCTCAGTCTTGGATTACCAGGAGTGCACAATGCCATCAAGTTGCGGATCTTCCACAAATTCGAAGGAAGAGAACCATCCAAGTTGTTGTAAACCAACACGATACTTTTAACGTATGTGTTGTTGTGGCAGGTGATACCATACCAGGCACAGTGAGTTGTTGAACTATTCCACGCGGTCGTGTTGTACCACTGCTTGCCATTTGTTGCCTCGTAAATGTCGAGGAGAACTTCTCTTTCTTGGTTGGGTGTAAAAGTTTTATCGTAGGTGACAATGGGAAACTCTCCATGATTATAAACGCGCTTCAAACAATCATAGCCTTCGTTCTCAACGAAGATTTGCCAATCTGAAAGGAAATAATTTTGTATCACTTAATGTTGATCTGTAGCTAGTATAAAATTTTTACGGAGATTTAAGACGGGCACCTGGCATTTTGTTTTCACGAGTGTTAGTAAAACATGAACGTTTCATGAAATCATTCACTTCAATTAAAATGTTAAGATAACAATTCCCCCAAACGCATTGGCGATCATGAAATCGTGCAGTGGACCATACGTACGGCGATCTTTTGTCTGGTCATTCTAGATGTCATGAACCAATTCTAGGTAGTGTAATGTGCACGTGATGTCCAAGAATGTCATTGAGCTAAAGTACGCTGTGATACAAATTTCCTCTGTATTTTCTCCTTCGATCGAGCAAGCAGCGGTGAAGCCACGTTCTTTCCAGTTTCAAAATATTATTCCTTGGTAGTCTGACTTTGATGCTAGTTACACCTTCTTCCATAACACTGAATTAAGTTTTTTACAAGCTCAGATCAGAAATTAATTCACGACCAAAAACTTGTTAAAAGGTGCTCTTTGAAATATGTTGAATTACAAGAAGTATAGACCTTTGCATAAATAGCGCCTTAATTTAAACAAAAATACTTTCTTGACATCCTAAGCCTGACATTCATGTGAAAAGTCAGTTGTCTGGAAACATAAGCCATTTATGCAAAGGGTTTACTGTGCAGTGCATGCAGTGACAATGCATGTTTCTACTAACGTGATCAAAGTTATTTATCAGCGAAATGGAGTGCTTGACTTGTCAATATAAGAAAACCGAAAAATAATCCAAATTAGAAGGGCAGGCAATTTCATGAAAGGTAGCATAAATAAGGGTTAAATAAACCAAATATAAGATCATTTTGGTTAAGCAAGTCAAAATACGTTTGATCCGAGTTTGAGGTCAATAAAGTCAAATGCCCGTTGTTTTCTGTGTCGCTACTTTGAGATTAGCTATCAACCATGAAATTTTATCGCTATGGTCGGAAGTTTGCTGTGATCATGAAGCTGCTAATAGGAGGAACGTTAACTGAGTTTGAGAACCTACCTCACACGCCCTTATCTTGATCAGATTCTGATTCGACTGATCTTTTATTGGATATGACGCTGAGAACTAAGATTTTACCAATAAAAATTTTGGAACAGCTGCGATGCATCTTTGTCATAGCTTGAGAAAGTTAGAGCTCGCGCTGCACGATTTTGGAGTTTATGAAGTTTGTCTGCTAGTTTTACGCCACAGTTTCCCCCACCAAATAGAAATGCGGCTGAATCAAGGCTTTGTAGATAAGGTGCAATGTTGCTGGATGGGGGAACAAGTTGCCTGACCCGTTTGATAGCTGCAATACCAGAGGCAATTTTTTTAGCCAACTTCTCGATATGACTGCCCCAGGTAAGGTTTGCATCAATGAATACACCTACAGATTTTCACGTTAATACCTGGTTTACGGCAGTAACATTGATGCTCACAACGGGAGAGTATGTTATGGTGTTTAGCTTTTGCCTCGAGCCGATTAGCATAAACTCAGTCTTTGTCATATTAAGTGTGAGTTTGTTAGCGATCAGCCATTTGCTGATATTTAGCAAGTCCTCATTCAAACAGCGCGGTTTTAAGATCTAAGATCTTTCTTGTTACCTTACGTTTTTTAACCTTCGAAGCGAAATGAACCTTTCTTATATGATTTCACTCACCGTAGATATCTCGGGACCCCAATAATAGCTCTCCGGATGAAAACTGAAAACACACACTCAGAAGAATCAGTGTCTGAAGCAGCCTCATCTCAAGCAGATACAAAATGGAAACACTCGTCATACCGCTTTACATGTAAAAGCAAATTTGATGCATCCGCAGTCTGTGTTTTTATCTTTTCCTAATGGTTTCTGCCGGCCAATGAAAGCGGTGTTTTGAATTGCTAATATCTCATTAAATTTTCTTAATAGATATAAAACATTTTTTTCCACAGAAGAAGTTTTCAAATTTGCAGATATTTCCCTCCGTAGTACTAAATAACTTTTTTTATTTGTTTCCTTTATTATCGATTAAAAACTTCGCCTGCGCATGCGAAACTAGTTTTCTCTGTATAGATGCAAGGAGCATAACCTTTGAAATTTAATAAGTGATCCATACAACAGGTGGGGCGGTGTTGTATCATTATTTAAAAACTGGAGGCGCAGCGTCGCTACTTCGAGATTTGCTATCAACAATAAAAATTTTATCGCTATGGTCGGAAGTTTGCTCTGATCATGAAGCTGCTAATAGGAGGAACATTAACTGAGTTTGAGAACCGGCCTCACACGCCCTAATCTTGATCAGATTCAGATTTGGATCTTTTATTGGACATGACGCTGAGTACTAAGATTTTTCCAATGGAAACTTTGGAACAGCTGCTAAGCATCTGCGTCATAGCCTCAGAAAGTTAGAGCTCGCGCTGCACGATTTTGGACGTTTTTGAAGTTTGTCTGCTAGTTTCAGGCCACAGTTTTTTTTGGTAGCGATCAGCCATTTGCTGATAATTAACAAGTCCTCACTTAAACAGCGCGGTTTTAAGATTTAAGATCTTTCTTGTTACTTTAAGTTTTTTAACCTTCCAGGCGAAATGATATGACGCTGAGTACTAAGATTTTTCCAATTGAAATTTTGGAACAGCTGCGATGCATATGCGTCAATTAGCTTGAGAAAGTTAGAGCTCGCAGCACGATTTTGGACGTTTCGGAAGTTTATCTTCTAGTTTTGCGCCACAGTTTCCCCAAACAACATTGCAATAGTCCAAATGAGGCTGAATCTAGGCTTTGTAGATAAGATGCAGTGTTGCTGGGGGTTAAAATTGCCTCACCCGTTTGATAGCTGCAATACAAGACGGAATTTTTTTAGCCAACTTCTCGATATGACTGCCCCAGGTAAGGTTTGCATCCATAAATAAACCTAGAGATTTTGACGTTGATACCTGGTTTACGGGAGTACCATTGATGCTCACAACGGGAGAGTCTGTTATGGTGTATAGCTTTTGCCTCGAGCTGATTAGCATAAACTTAGTCTTTGTCTTATTAAGTGTGAGTTTGTTAGCGATCAGCCATTTGCTGATATTTAGCAAGTCCTCATTCAAACAGCGCGGTTTTAAGATCTAAGATCTTTCTTGTTACCTTACGTTTTTTAACCTTCGAGGCGAAATGAACCTTTCTTATATGATTTCACTCACCGTAGATATCTCGGGACCCCGATGATAACTCTTCGGATGAAAGCTGAAAACGCACACTCAGAAGAATCAGTGTCTGAAGCAGCCTCATCTCAAGCAGATACAAAATGGAAACACTCGTCATACCGCTTTACATGTAAAAGCAAATTTGATGCATCCGCATAATCTGTTTTTATTTTATGTTTTTGTAATGGTTACTGCCGGCCAATGAAAGCGGTGTTTTGAATTGCTAATTTCCCATTAACTTTTCTCTATAGACATAAAACATTTTTTTTTTCTACAGAAGAAATTTTCAATTTTGCAAATATTTCCCTCTGTAATACTAAATAACTTTTGTTACTTATTTCCTTTATTACCGATTAAAAACTTCGCCGTTTACCTGCGCATGCCGGACTAGTTTTCTCTGTATAGATGAAAGAAGCATAAACTTTGCAATTTAATAAGTAATGTATACAACAGGAGTGGCGCCCGGTGTTGTATCATTATTTAATAACTGGAGGCGCAGCGTCGCTACTTTGAGATTTGCTATCAACAATGAAATTTTATCGCTATGGTCGGAGGTTTGCTGTGATCATAAAGCTGCTAATAGGAGGAACGTTAACTGAGTTCGAGAACCGACCTCACACGCCCTAATCTTGATCAGATTCAAATTCAGATCTTTTATTGGATATGACGCTGAGTACTAAGATTTTTCCAGTTGAAATTTTGGCACAGCTGCGATGCATATGCAGTCATAGCTTGAGAAAGTTAGAGCTCGCAGCACGATTTTGGACTTTTTTGAAGTTTGTCTGCTAGTTTTACACCTCAGTTTCCCCAAACAACATTACAGTAGTCGAAATGCGGCTAGATCAAGGATTTGTAGATAAGATGCAATGTTGCTGGGGGAACAAATTGCCTGACCCGTTTGATAGCTGCAATACCAGAGGCAATTTTTTTAGCCAACTTCTCGATATGACTGCGCCAGGTAAGGTTTCCATCATGAGAACACCTAGACATTTTGACGTTGATACCTCTGGTTTACGGGAGTACCATTGATGCTCACAACGGGAGAGTCTGTTATGGTGTTTAGCTTTTGCCTCGAGCCGATTAGCATAAACTTAGTCTTTGTCATATTAAGTGTGAGTTTGTTAGCGATCAGCCATTTGCTGATATTTAGCAAGTCCTCATTCAAACAGCGCGGTTTTAAGATCTAAGATCCTTCTTGTTACCTTACGTTTTTTACATGAGGACCCGCATACGACTTTTTTTTGTACACCACAGGACGCTAGGGTTTGAATGAAAAGCAATAAACTTCCTACTGCGAAAAGCAATTGGTTTCTTTACCGTTTGGTCCAATCATCGTGGTATTATTCGATAAAGCGTCACTTTTTTTAACAAGATTAAGGCGGCATCTTGCGATAGAGTAATTGAGAAGAGATTACAATTTAACATGTGTGAGTTTAGACACCACGGTATTACGAAATCACTCGCGCTCCAAGTTGAAATTTAAGGTTAATACGATTTAGCATGAGTTAGCGAGTTTTATTGTAATTCCATGGTGTTCCAATCTCCTAAGTGCGATTTTTAAAGCAACAGAAACACTAGGTGGTGCGCCCGTGATTCTGTGAGTTTAGACACCACGGCATTATGAAATCACTTGCGTACCAAGTGGAAATTTAAAGGTTAATATGTTTTAGCTTGAGTAAGCGAGTTTTATTGTAATTCCATGGTGTTCCAAACTCCTAAGTGCGATTTTTAAAGCAACAGAAATACTAGGTGGCACGCCCGTGATTCTGTGAGTTTAGACACCTCGGCATTATGATTTCACTTGCGTACCAAGTGGAAATTTAAAGGTTAATATGTTTTAGCTTGAGTAAGCGAGTTAATATTTCCCTCCCTAGTACTAAATAACTTTTTTTATTTGTTTCCTTTATTATCGATTAAAAACTTCGACGTTTACCTGCGCATGCGAAACTAGTTTTCTCTGTATAGATGCAAGGAGCATAAACTTTGCAATTTAATAAGAGATCCATACAACAGGTGGGGCGGTGTTGTATCATTATTTAAAAACTGGAGGCGCAGCGTCGCTACTTCGAAATTTGCTATCAACAATGAAAAATATCGCTATGGTCGGAAGTTTGCTCTGATCATGAAGCTGCTAATAGGAGGAACATTAACTGAGTTTGAGAACCGGCCTCACACGCCCTAATCTTGATCAGATTCAGATTTAGATCTTTTATAGAGATTTTAACGCTCATACCTCTGGTTTACGGTAGTACCATTGATGCTCATAACGGGAGAGTCTGTTATGGTGTATAGCTTTTGCCTCGAGCTGATTAGCATAAACTTAGTCTTTGTCATATTAAGTGTGAGTTTGTTAGCGATCAGCCATTTGCTGATATTTAGCAAGTCCTCATTCAAACAGCGCGGTTTTAAGATCTAAGATCTTTCTTGTTACCTTACGTTTTTTAACCTTCGAGGCGAAATGAACCTTTCTTATATGATTTCACTCACCGTAGATATCTCGGGACCCCGATGATAACTCTTCGGATGAAAGCTGAAAACGCACACTCAGAAGAATCAGTGTCTGAAGCAGCCTCATCTCAAGCAGATACAAAATGGAAACACTCGTCATACCGCTTTACATGTAAAAGCAAATTTGATGCATCCGCATAATCTGTTTTTATTTTATGTTTTTGTAATGGTTACTGCCGGCCAATGAAAGCGGTGTTTTGAATTGCTAATTTCCCATTAACTTTTCTCTATAGACATAAAACATTTTTTTTTTCTACAGAAGAAATTTTCAATTTTGCAAATATTTCCCTCTGTAATACTAAATAACTTTTGTTACTTATTTCCTTTATTACCGATTAAAAACTTCGCCGTTTACCTGCGCATGCCGGACTAGTTTTCTCTGTATAGATGAAAGAAGCATAAACTTTGCAATTTAATAAGTAATGTATACAACAGGAGTGGCGCCCGGTGTTGTATCATTATTTAATAACTGGAGGCGCAGCGTCGCTACTTTGAGATTTGCTATCAACAATGAAATTTTATCGCTATGGTCGGAGGTTTGCTGTGATCATAAAGCTGCTAATAGGAGGAACGTTAACTGAGTTCGAGAACCGACCTCACACGCCCTAATCTTGATCAGATTCAAATTCAGATCTTTTATTGGATATGACGCTGAGTACTAAGATTTTTCCAGTTGAGATTTTGGCACAGCTGCGATGCATATGCAGTCATAGCTTGAGAAAGTTAGAGCTCGCAGCACGATTTTGGACTTTTTTGAAGTTTGTCTGCTAGTTTTACACCTCAGTTTCCCCAAACAACATTACAGTAGTCGAAATGCGGCTAGATCAAGGATTTGTAGATAAGATGCAATGTTGTTGGGGGAACAAATTGCCTGACCCGTTTGATAGCTGCAATACCAGAGGCAATTTTTTTTAGCCAACTTCTCGATATGACTGCTCCAGGTAAGGTTTGCATTAATGAGTACACCTAGAGATTTTGACGTTGATACCTCTGGTTTACGGGAGTACCATTGATGCTCACAACGGGAGAGTCTGTTATGGTGTTTAGCTTTTGCCTCGAGCCGATTAGCATAAACTTAGTCTTTGTCATATTAAGTGTGAGTTTGTTAGCGATCAGCCATTTGCTGATATTTAGCAAGTCCTCATTCAAACAGCGCGGTTTTAAGATCTAAGATCCTTCTTGTTACCTTACGTTTTTTACATGAGGACCCGCATACGACTTTTTTTTGTACACCACAGGACGCTAGGGTTTGAATGAAAAGCAATAAACTTCCTACTGCGAAAAGCAATTGGTTTCTTTACCGTTTGGTCCAATCATCGTGGTATTATTCGATAAAGCGTCACTTTTTTTAACAAGATTAAGGCGGCATCTTGCGATAGAGTAATTGAGAAGAGATTACAATTTAACATGTGTGAGTTTAGACACCACGGTATTACGAAATCACTCGCGCTCCAAGTTGAAATTTAAGGTTAATACGATTTAGCATGAGTTAGCGAGTTTTATTGTAATTCCATGGTGTTCCAATCTCCTAAGTGCGATTTTTAAAGCAACAGAAACACTAGGTGGTGCGCCCGTGATTCTGTGAGTTTAGACACCACGGCATTATGAAATCACTTGCGTACCAAGTGGAAATTTAAAGGTTAATATGTTTTAGCTTGAGTAAGCGAGTTTTATTGTAATTCCATGGTGTTCCAAACTCCTAAGTGCGATTTTTAAAGCAACAGAAATACTAGGTGGCACGCCCGTGATTCTGTGAGTTTAGACACCTCGGCATTATGATTTCACTTGCGTACCAAGTGGAAATTTAAAGGTTAATATGTTTTAGCTTGAGTAAGCGAGTTAATATTTCCCTCCCTAGTACTAAATAACTTTTTTTATTTGTTTCCTTTATTATCGATTAAAAACTTCGACGTTTACCTGCGCATGCGAAACTAGTTTTCTCTGTATAGATGCAAGGAGCATAAACTTTGCAATTTAATAAGAGATCCATACAACAGGTGGGGCGGTGTTGTATCATTATTTAAAAACTGGAGGCGCAGCGTCGCTACTTCGAAATTTGCTATCAACAATGAAAAATATCGCTATGGTCGGAAGTTTGCTCTGATCATGAAGCTGCTAATAGGAGGAACATTAACTGAGTTTGAGAACCGGCCTCACACGCCCTAATCTTGATCAGATTCAGATTTAGATCTTTTATAGAGATTTTAACGCTCATACCTCTGGTTTACGGTAGTACCATTGATGCTCATAACGGGAGAGTCTGTTATGGTGTATAGCTTTTGCCTCGAGCTGATTAGCATAAACTTAGTCTTTGTCTTATTAAGTGTGAGTTTGTTAGCGATCAGCCATTTGCTGATATTTAGCAAGTCCTCATTCAAACAGCGCGGTTTGAAGATCTAAGATCTTTCTTGTTACCTTACGTTTTTTAACCTTCGAGGCGAAATGAACCTTTCTTATATGATTTCACTCACCGTAGATATCTCGGGACCCCGATGATAACTCTTCGGATGAAAGTTGAAAACGCACACTCAGAAGAATCAGTGTCTGAAGCAGCCTCATCTCAAGCAGATACAAAATGGAAACACTCGTCATAGCGCTTTACATGTAAAA